CCTTCTCCAGCCTCTTCAACAAAGCAGGCCCTCACTTCTTCTTGGAAATGGGGAAAGTTCACTGTTTCAGCCACCACTCCTAGAAACCCATTGTTGTTGTCGTTATGTGTTGTTAAGTCACCTCCAGCTCATGGCGACCCTATGGACGAACGACCTCCAGTATGTCCTGTCCTCAACCGTCCTGCTCTGGTCTTGCAAACTCAAGCCTGTGGTTTCTTTAGAGAGCCAGCCCATCTCATATTTGGGTTTTCCTCTTTTCCCGCTGCCTTCCACCTTTCCCAGCCTTATTGTCTTTTCCAGGGAATCCTGCCTTCTCACAATGCGCCCAGTTTCAACCTTTTTGCCTCCAGAGAGAGTTCAGACTTGATTCGATCCAGGATCCACTTTGTTCGTCTTTCTGGCAAATCCAGGGTATCTCCAAAGCTCCGGTCACCTTTCTCCCCTATCCAGCTTTCACGCCCATACATGATCAGAAATACGAGAGCCTGGATGACCTTGGTCTTGGTCTCCAATGAAACCTCCTTCCACTTGATGGTCTTTTCCACTTCCTTCACGGCTGCCTTTCTGAATCTTCTCAGTCGTCTTCTGATTTTTTTTGGCTCCATTCTCTCTTTAGATTGATTTGCCGGTCACCTTTCTCCCCTATCCAGCTTTCACGCCCATACATGATCAGAAATACGAGAGCCTGGATGACCTTGGTCTTGGTCTCCAATGAAACCTCCTTCCACTTGATGGTCTTTTCCACTTCCTTCACGGCTGCCTTTCTGAATCTTCTCAGTCGTCTTCTGATTTTTTTTGGCTCCATTCTCTCTTTAGATTGATTTGGGTGAACCAAGGTAGACAAGATCTCTAACTATCTCAGTTTCTTCATGGTCAGTGCTAAAGTTGTGTAGTTCTTCTGTAATCATGACTTTTGTCTTCTTCATATTCAACTGCAGTCCTGCTTTGGCACTTTCTTCTTCCACTTTCACTAAAAGTCATTTAAAGTCATTGCTCCTGCCAGTTGATGTTTCTTCCACCAACTCCTCCTCCATCTGAATCTAGGATGGCTTTCCACATAATATGTTATGTGTACAGACTGAATAGATGAGGGGATAACATGCACTCACAGCGCCCCTTTCCTACAGACTCCTTTATCTGTAGGAAGCCATTCTCTCTCGAAAGATAGATAGATAGATAGATAGATAGATAGATAGATAGATAGATAGATAGATATAGATATAGATATAGATATAGATATAGATATAGATATAGATATAGATATAGATATAGATATTCTGTCTTAACACTAGCTTCTTGTCCACGATACAAGTGACGCATCAGGACAATCAAATGCTGAGGCATACTTATTTTCTTCAGAACATCAGGACAATCAAATGCTGAGGCACACTTATTTTCTTCAGAGCAACTCATAGCTTCTCATGGTGTGCAGTCAATGGTTTTTTGAAAATCTATAAAGCATAGACTGATCTTCTTCTGAAACTCTTTGGTGCACTCTGGTAGCCAACCGACATTTGCAATATGATCTCAAGGGCCTCTTCCTTTTCGGAATCCAGTTTGAACATCAGGCATTTTTTGCTCCCTATAAGGTAAAAGCCTTTATTGCAATAGCTTGAGCAGAGACATATTTAAAGTAAACAAATAGCTCAACGGAACTCCAAAGTCTTGCACTCCTTTGGCTGGACGATCCACGACCTCTGTGAACTTTACCAAACCATTGCCGACTTTCTTGCAGTCCCTGTTTTCCTGATGCCCATTTTTTTCTGCCAAGGTCGGCTTGACCTTCCCCATTCCCCTCCACCCAAGACTACGTGTGTCACCAGGCTGCAGTTTTCAGGAACAGCACCAGACTTCCTCCGGCCTATTAGAAACAGGGCATGGCTAGAGACGTCTGCCTGTACCAAGAGCATCTCTGCTAATAGTTATCAAAGAGCAGAAGTGAATGTGTTGCAAGCAGAAGCTGAAGGTCAGCGTTGGAATTCCAAGCCACACTGACGCCTAGTACAGAATCCAGATGAACAGCATGACTTCGCAGATTGGCTTTTAACACAGGGAGATTTCTCAAATCTTCAAAATGACAAATCATGTTTCCTGAGTTTGATTTGTCAAGGGAAGAGTCAGCCGCCCACACTAAGGCAACCTACTGCTGGGGGAAATTCAGAGTTTGCAAAGCATAATTGGCATTGACACGAAATGTATAGCCTTTCCATCACCAGGGCCAATGGGATCAATTATATGAACGTGATCAACTACACCAATGTCGATGTTACCATTCAAGTTATTGTTTAAACATCCATTTACATAAGAAGAGTATCGGTGTAAAGTTAGTCACTGATATGTCAGTGTGGTGTGTTGTTGGGGGGATTTGAGTTTCTGGTAAAATTCCTTTTTTTTCCCCCCACGCAGTAGAAATACAGAGATCCACAGAGGAGAATACATACAAGCTCCTCAGAGAGTCCACCCCTTTCCCACTAACTGGCCCTTAAAGTCTAAATAATTCTCTCTGAGACATTGGTAGGAGAAAGAGTTAAAAATGTTTACTTACAGTTGCTTCAACATTCAGACTTGTCAGTGCTGCTTTGTTTTCTGCACACATACAGTACTTAGCAACCAATTGAACAGATCAACAGCAAACGAATACCTGGCGCCAACAGACTAAAGAGAGGAAGGAAAACACTCAGCAGAGAGGCAAATCAAATGGAATGATTGGTTCGTGCTAGATAAATAGGCAATCATCCAGGAAAGACCCTTCCAGTCACATAAAACACAGGCAGCCTGTGAGGTCAGAAACAAAACTCAGGATTCTCTGAAACCAACTGAAAGGAAGCAAAGGTTCTTACATATTACTTCATAAGGAATGTTGTTGACTCCTGAAGCCACATACAGCGAATGCGTGAATCCAGATTTTGCCATCCTCTTGATCTGCGGCCAGCAGATGTTTTTACACATGTTGTTTTCAAATACCCAGGTTGGCTGTGGCCATCTCCTTGTTATTCCAGTAACACAGCCTTGCCACTGGACTCAGAAGCACCAGAGGAGATAATTCGAAAGATTCAGCTTGACATTTTTTAAAAAAAGAAAAAGAAAAACAAACGGAGAATTAAGAAAGAGCACAGCGCCCTCTAGTGGGGATTCCTATATAATCAGAAAATGTATACAAATGTAAAGAATAAGGGATACCTTTTATCAGGAGACTTTAAAAATCAAACAAATTGCAAACTTTCCTAGAGAAGATTCCACTTGTCGGCTGGAGGGCTGGAGGAGAAAAGCAACACATAGCAACCTCTAGCACAAGGCTGGGTTATAATTAGGTTTTTCCACCAGGTAGAAGAAGCCAAATAAAACCAATTTCAAGTCAAATTAATGCTTTAACCTGGTGAGCATCAGCAGATGCCTCTTCAGCTTATAGTCACCTCTGGCTGGTGTCAAGGGTCCATGTGGTCTTGTAGGTGATGCTGTGTACAGCCATTAGCGAAATCTCACATGACCCAGAAAGAATTAGAAAAACACCTAATTTAAATTTAACGAAGTTTAAACCAGGAATGAGAGGTGCCATATAATCCATGCAGCCAGTAGATTTTACTTTCTTGGGCTCCGTGATCACTGCAAAGGGTGACAGCAACCACGAAATTAAAAGATGCCCGCTTCTTGGGAGGAAGGCTATGACAAACCTAGACAGCATCTTAAAAAGCACAGACATCAGCTTGCCGACATCACCTTACCTAGACTATAGTTTTTTCCAGTAGTGATGTATGGAAGTGAGAGCTGGACCATAAAGGAAGCTGACCACTGAAGAATTGATGCTTTTGAATTGTGGTGTTGAAGGAGACTCTTGAGAGTCCCCTGGACTGCAAGGAGAACAAACCTCTCCATTCTGAAGGAAATCAACCCTGAGTGCTCCCTGGAAGGACAGATCCTGAAGCTGAGGCTACAATCCTTTGGCCATCTGATGAGAAGAAAAGACTCCCTGGAAAAGACCCTGATGTTGGGAAAGTGTGAAGGCAAGAGGAGAAGGATTTTGACAGCGGACGAGATGGATGGGTAGTGTCACCGAAGTGACCAACATGAATTTGACCCAACTCCGGGAGGCAGTGGCAGACAGGAGGGCCTGGCGTGCTCTGGTCCATGGGGTCACGAAGAGTTGGACATGACTGAACGACTAAACAACAACAAACAAGCAGTTTGGGCACCTGGGACTAGCAGCACAAAATGTGCCTCCAAGTACAGTTTGCCATCTGTGTTGTGAAAAGGGGCCAAGAGGCAATCAGAGCATCTCTCACGGGGGCACAGGTGATGTACATGCAAGCAAGGCCACTTTCTGACTCACAACGAGGTGCCGCTCAAGTGTCAAATGTCTCTCCATTCAATGGCCACTCAGGAGGAAGAGTAGCCACAAACATTTTTAGTCAAGAACAAAGCAAAAATGAAAAAAAATAAGACAAAAACGTTGTGGCACCTTGAAGATTAATGGCTATATTTTCATGTGAACCTTCTGGGAGAAATCCATTTCTTCAGCCATGCACAGCTACCTCTTCTAGAAAATATTTTTTAAGGTTTCAAAAACCTCTGAGAACGTCTTTGCCTCAGTCGATTTATTTTAAATTAGTAAATATGACCTGACCCTTTCCAAACTGGAATGGCCAGAGATTTTAAACTTGAGACCTTCCGCGGAAGCCAGATGTGGTTCACTTTTGATCTAGGGTCCACCTGGAAGCGGATTTACGTTCGAGTAACAGGTCCTGACTCTGGGAATGAGCAAAGCTTGGAAAAGTTCCATTTCTAGATTACGATCCATTCTGGATCTCTGGCCAACAGGAGAGGATTCTGGGCATTGCAGTCCCAAAAATTAACTTCTCTGAGCTCCAGGCAAATCTCATAGTCCAACTGGGGAGCAAGGATGGAAGTCCACCAAGACCTCAAGGGCCTGATGCGTCTCTCTGGGCAAAAGCTGTCAACATGGAACGTGGAACGCTGGGGGTCTCATTGCCTGGCAACTGGGAGCCAAAGAAGGCATGCTATCATGCCGACCTATGGCCGGCTCGTTTCCCCTCTTTGCACCATGTGGGACCCATCCTAGTAGCCATGATGGAGCGTCCTCATAAAGCGCACGGTCAGTGGCAGCCGGAAGCATGACAGGCCTCAATACAAAGTCTAGAGGATTTTCCAGGGGGAATGAATGGATTTAAAACAGGGGGATGTGAAACCATAGGATTTTTCTTCCTCTCTTCCAAGTGAACCATGGGCTAAAGTTACAGGAAACCAGATTTCAGATGAATATCGGGGGAAACTTCTTAACTGTTAGAGTAGCATGACAATAGAACCCAGGACCTCAGGAGGTGGTGAGGTGGACTCCAACTCTGGAGGAGAAAATGGGACCACCCTCGGTCAGATCTGCTTTGATTCGTATTCCTGCACTGAGCAGGGGGTTGGACTGGATGGCCTTAAAGAACCCTTCCAACTTATTGATTCTATGATTCTAAGTGAAACTGGCCCTTTCTGGTGCAACTCTAACCCCCTCCTGGGGCCCACCTAGTTTCCCAAACGGCTATGCCTCTTTCCCACAATACCACAGGCTTTGTGACTCCCTTTGCTTTTCAATGTGGTTCTTCCCAGTCTGAAGGACTGTCTCTTGACCATATGAGTCTTCACTTAAAACATGCTGACCTTTCTGCACTTACTTTTCTGCGTTTGCCTCAACCCCACCAATGGCATGGGGGCTCCACCTTCCAAAAAAAGAGAACAAACCCCTCCCCCAGACTGAAAGAGGTTCCCCAGCCTGGGCTTCAAAGGGCCACCCTCGCCCCCGTGAGCTTGCCAAAGTCACAGCATCATAGGGTGGGAGGGTTCCCCAGAGAGCATCTAGTCCAACCTCCATGCTCCATCCAGCATGTGCTGTCCTCTTTGGTTCCCCCTTTAAATCTAATCCTTTAGGTGATCAAGGATCAAGTTTCCATGATGCCTGCTCATTGCTCAGAGGGAAGTTACCTATTTCATCCTAGAAATATGTAGAATCATAGACAAGTGAGGTTGGAAGGGGGCCTGTAAGGCCATCAAGCCCAACCCGCAGCTCAAGGCAGGAACACAAATCAAAGAAGATCTGCCAGGGGGTTGTCCCATTTTCTCTTGAACTTAGTCTTAGTAGGGTTAGATCTGAGCAGGCGTCTATCAGAAGACATGCCAAGGTCTTTTAATAGATCTGTTCAGAAGTTCTGCCATGTGAAAGCTGTTCCATTGAGCTGCAAGTGTGAGATCATCAGCAAAAATGAAACTTTTAGTCCCTTGAGCAAATGGTTAGTTCTTAGTATGAACATTAAACGGAACAGGAGCCACTGCAGGGGCTGTGCCTTCTATTGCTTCCTGCCACTGCTCCCAGACTGTGGAACTCCCTCCCACTGGAGGCCAGCCTGGCCCCATCTTGGCTATCCTTCTGCAAGCTACCTGAGTGGGGTTTTAAAGGGATGGTTGTTGCTTTAACAGCTTCAAACGGGTTTTTAGTATTGCTTGGGTTTCTCATTTCTCAGACTGGCATTTGTTGGTTCCTTGTTAATATTTCTAAACTTAGCATTTTTTAGCTTAAAACATTGCCTTTGAATGATGTACGCCTCCTTTGCATAGTCATCATTTGCTTCTCAAATATTGTATTTTAATGTTGTAAGCCGCCTTGGGTCCTTTTCTAAGGAGAAAGGCAGAGTCAAATATTTTTAGAAGAAATAAATGTTGTCAGTGTTACATGCCATCTAGTTGACTTCTGGGAACCCTATGAAATGAGCACTAGTCAAAATGTTCTGTTCTTACCTGTCCTGCTCAGCTCTTGGACACTGAAGCCTGTGGCTTCCTTTAAGGGCTCAATCCATCTCATGTTTGGCCTCCCTCTTTTCCTGTTGCCTCCAACTTTTCCTAGCCCCTATCATCTTTTCCAGTGAGACATATCTTTTCATAATGGGCCACAGTACGACAGCCTCGGTTTCATAAGGTTATACGATATACAGTACATGTAAGGTACTAATAAGGGGGGTGGTGAATGATCTGTCAGGTCAATTCAAGAGTCATGGCACTGCTTTCCAAGGTGTTCTGGGTATTTGGTACTCAGAAGTACTTCGCCATCCCCTTCTTTGTGGGGGGGGGGGATTTCTGGGACGGTGCAGCTGGCCCAAGGCCACCCAGGCCGGCTCTCCTCCCAGAAGTCACAGCATCGAAATCCCAACCTATGGCTCTGCAGCCAGAGACCTAAACCACTCTGAGCCACCCAGCCAGACTATGATACAGTCTAATACTATGGATTTGACCCAACTCCGGGAGGCAGTGGAAGAAGGAGGGCCTGGCGTGCTCTGGTCCATGGGGTCACGAAGAGTCGGACACGACTTAACAACTAAACAACAACAACAAATAATATGGAAAGAATCATCGTCGTAGTAGTGGTGGTGGTGATTGTTGTTGCTGTTATTGTTGCTGCTGCTGCTGCTGTTGTTATTATTACAGTATTAATATCCAAAAACACCAGGCCCAGTCAATCAAAATTATAAAGCCATTGACTGGTATTCTATGAGAGATACAAACCTAAGTATCTGTTCAAGATTGGGGCAATATTATTATTATTATTATTATTGTTGTTGTTGTTGTTGTTGTTGTTGTTGTTGTTCTTAGTAGTAGTAGTAGTAGTAGTAGTAGTAGTAGTAGTAGTAGTAGTAGTAGTAGTAGTAGTAGTATGGTGGTGGTGGCGGCGGCGGCGATGGTGAATTTATTTATTTGATTTGATTAACTGGATTTGATTTGATTTCTCTACCGCCCCTCTTGGCAGCCACGGCCACGCCGGGCGGTTTACAAGAAGCAGAGGCAGAGCAACAAAGTAGCAAAATAAAAGCAACATCAACACATGAGGAAGCGCAAATCAAATACTGTACTGTACTACTATCCTAAAGTGCCGCGGAGACAAGAGGGACGATACAATGAATTACAACTAAAAGTATGAAAAAACGTTTCTAATTGCTGCTGTCGTTGCCGCCGCCGCCATCATCCTCCTCCCTCCCCCCTCTCTCTCTCACCAGAGACCCAGAAGGACTGACACCCCCCCTCCCTCTCCCCGCTCCAGGGCCAGGTGGCAAAGCGGGCCGCTGGCGCTACCGCGACGGGTCTCCTCGAGCGTAAGGGAGGGAGGACGGGCGCCGGGGGGGGGCTAAGCATCGCCCCCCATTCCCCCCCCGCAGGGCCCGCCTGG